GAGTATCGATCTGGAGACAGTATCAACTCTTGGGACATACCTGTGATGTGTGGGAAGCAGCTAAACCTGCATCCCTGGTTCCGACTCACTTGCCTCTCTCTCTCCTCTTATATACCACCCTTTCTTGACATCTCCTTTTGCTGCTGCCCAGCTCACCCTGTTACCCTAGGGCAGACCCCAGCCCAGAAGCAGTGATAACTTCAGTAAGGTTCCCAGAAAGAAGGAAGGAGGAGTAGGCAGGAGTTCTGCACTGGCCAGTGGGGCTCCAGACCCCTGCTGTAGCCTCTCCTAGGCTTACCTGCCTTTAGAACCAGCTCAGCTCAGGAAAGGGCCTTGCTTGAGTTTTCCAATCTTTGATCCTCCCTTTACTGTTGGAAGATGTTTCCATTTCCCTGTTCCATCCCTTTCATGGCCTTAGTTATTGTGGTTTATACAGATTTTGGGTCAGAGAGGTAGCTCAGTGGTTAGGAGCATGTGCTGCTCTTGCAGAGGACCTACGTTTGGTACCCAGAACCCACATCAGGCAGCTCACATCCACCTGTAACTCCAGCTCCAGGGGATCAAAATTTCTAGCTTCTGAGGGCTCTGCACGAGCACACAGACCATACAAGCATACACATATACTCACAAAATAAAAAAAATGTTTACAGATTTCAGTGTCCTAGACCCTAATATTAACTTCACTGTTTGAACACAGGGATGGGGTGGGGTAAGGACTGTAGGTATGATTTATGACCCTTGGGTTATGAGAAACTGCTTTCAGGAAAAATTGATGGCAGGGGACTGGACATCAGCTGCCTGCAGAGTCAGGTGGAAGGCTGACTCCTTGGTCTTAAAGTTCCCTAAGGCCTTCTGAATCAAAGTACAAGTAGTTGTCAGGTGCCCTATAGCCTGGCAGGTTCTAAGGTGAGTGCTAGATAACCACTCAGCCCAACAGTCTTCAAGTGGCATTGTTGTTACTATCTCTTCCTTCCTTCCTGCCTTCCTTCCCGTCTGCCTGCCTTCCTTCTTTCCTTTCTCTCTCTCTCTCTCTTATTTATTTGTTTGTTTATTTACTTATATTTTTGAGACAGGGTTTCTCTATGTAACAGTCCTGGCTATCCTGGAACTCACTCTGTACACCAGGCTGGCCTCAAACTCGCAGAGATCCACCTGCCTCTGCCTCCTTTTTAATTTTTGTTACATTTGTTGATGTGTGAGCTCACACGTGTATGTGTGTGTATGATGTGGGGGATGTGCATGTGCTGCTGCATGAGTGTGGAGGTCAGAGGAAAATTTGTGGGAATCAATTCTCTCTACCATGTGACTCACTCCCAGGGATTAGACTCAGGTCCTCAGGCTTACAGGCAAGTACCTTAATCTGCTGAGCCATCACACCAGCTCTGTTTTGTTTTTTGAGACAGTCATGATAAGTAATTCCAGTTGTCTTGTAACTTGCTATGGTAGACCAGGGAGGATAGCCTCAAGCATCCTGGGATTCTTTGCTTCTGCCTTTCAAGTGCTAGGATCACAGGTATGTATTACAATGCCCAGTGGATTGGTGGATCGGCTCCTTCCCTGCCTCCCTCCCTGCCTCCCTCCCTCCTTTCCTCCCTTTTCCTCTTCTTCCCTTCTTCCCCATTTTTCTTCCTTTCTTCTTCTTCCTCCCCCTCCTCCTCCTCCTTCTTTTGAGACAAAGTTTCTCTGTATTGTTTTGGAGGCTGTCCTGGAACTGGCTTTGTAGACCACAGAGATTCACCTGCCTCTGCCTCCTGAGTGCTGGGATTAAAGGCGTGCGCCACCAATATCCGGCCTTTATTTTTTTTCATACTTATTTATGTGTGTATGTGCATGTCTACGGGCATATGTGTGCCTTGGCATATGTGTCAAAGTTAGAGGACAACTTTGGAGAGTCCATTCTCTCCTTCCAGTATGTGTGGCCAGGGATCAAACTCAGGTTGTTGGGCTTGGCAGTGGGTACCTCTATCCCCTGAGCCATCTTCCTGGCCCCATTCTTACTAGGCCTGTTCCAGGCCTTGGATTCCCTATGTAATCAAGGATGACCTTGAACTTCTGCTCAAAAACACCCCCTCAATTAAAAGGACACATTTTTTTAGCTATATAATTAACAAAGGTGAGAGAAGATGTCCAGAACATGGATGTGGGAATGGACACCTTTAAGGTGCTGGCCACTGGGTTTAATTGGCAAAGCATTTGGAAAACGGTTTGAAGGTGGCGCTAAAGAGCTGGAGAAAAGCTGACTCTTGGGCCTCTGATTTTCCTTCTTAGAATCCGTCTCAGACTGAGGGTGATGGAGCACACCTCGAATTCCAGCACTTTGGAGGCAGAAGCAGGTGGATCTCTGTGTTAGAGGCCAGCCTGGTCTACAGAGTGAATTCCAGGACAACCAGAGCAACACAATGAGAGTCTGTTTCCAAAACAAATAAACAAACAAACAAAAAACTCTCAAAAACAAACAACATAAAAATAATCTTAAGGGCTGGAGAGATGGCTCAGCGGTTAAGAGCACTGACTGTTCTTCCAGAGGTCCTGAGTTCAATTCCCAGCAACCACATGGTGGCTCACAACCACCTTGAATGAGATCTGGTGCCCTCTACTGGCATGCTGAAGATTGTATACATAATAAATAAATAAAATATTTAAAAAAAATAATCTTAAGAATAAGTGGTAACTTGGGAAAATTTCTCACGAAATCATGTGAAACAATGAAAGTCACATGACAGATTGTATGATATACAATCCACATTTTTGTTTGTTTTTTGAGACAGAGTTTCTCTGTGCAGCCCTGATTGTCCTGAATTGCTCTGCAGGCCATGGTGGCCTCGAACTCACAGAGATCCTTCTGCCTTTGCCTCTCTGAGTTCTGGGATTAAAGGTACTCACCACCACCACCACCCAGGAACTTTTAGGGAATTTTTTAATGAATAATTTCAATCACTCATAAATGCTTTATACTTACCATATTCCCTACAGCAAACATAAAAAGTGAAGAGAAAACCCCTCCGAGAAGTGTGAAGTGATAAAACCAAACATATCCAGGAATTAACCTTAGAAGCCAGAAGTTCAAATCACTAAAATAGTCTGTCACTTTCTTCAGTAAATACAGTCTTGTGTCATTTAGCCACAAGGAAACATTCTGAGAAATGTGTCATGACTAGATTTTGCTGTTGTGCAAACATGCTGAAGTGTGCTTATAGGAACCAAGACAGCTATGACATCGCTGGATGGTGTCATCTTAGAGAGCTGTGTCAGAGATGAGTTACCCATCGTTGGCTGGAGCAGTATATGGTGACATATGTGTCAAACCCTGTGTGAGGTTGAGGAGAGAGGTCACTAGGTCACACGTGACTAGGCCAATGAGGTTGCCTGGATCTTTACAATGTGGTACTGGACAGGGCCTGTCCATTGTCAGGGTTAACTTTCTCTGATCTGTATGAATCTGTAGTTGGAGAGGGTCAGACTGGATAAACTCTGAGGGTCCTGGAAAACCTTGGGCCAAGTCTGTAATTCTACTTTTTTTTTTTTTTTTTTTTTGGTTTTTTGAGACAGGGTTTCTCTGCATTGTTTTGGAGGCTGTCCTGGAACTAGCTCTGTAGATCAGGCTGGCCTCGAACTCACAGAGATCCGCCTGCCTCTGCCTCCTGAGTGCTGGGATTAAAGGCGTGTGCCACCACTGCCCGGCCTGTAATTCTATCTTAAGGAAGACAAAGCGTTTGTTTGTGCGAGGGCACACATGTTTGTTTTAGTTGTATATGCCCATGTGTGCACACGCATGTGGAGGCCAAAGAGCAACTGTGGGTGGTGTCCTCTGGAGCTGGCCTCCTTGGCGTTTTTGGAGCGGGGTAGCCTCAATCCCAGTTCTGATCCTCCTGACTCTACCTTCTTTTTTAGTCTGGAGGCAAACATTTACTTTATTATTATTATTTTTTACAAACCCATTTTTTAAATTTAAGTTAGAAACAAGCTTGTTTCTCATGTCAGTCCCAGCTCCCTCTCCTCCTCCCCTGCCCCCCATCAGGCCCCCCAGCCTCCCACTCAATCTCTACTCTGATCCCCAGGGAGGGTGAGACCCTCCATGGTGGATCTCCAGAGTCTGTCATTTCATGCAGGGCCTAGGCCTTCCCCCAAGAGTCCAGGCTGAGAGAGCCTCCCTCATTGTGGGATGGGCACTCAAAGTCTATTTGTACGCCAGGGATGTTTTTGTTGTTGTTGTTTTGGCCTGGAGCTTTCTTAGTAGATTTGGCTGGCTGCCCACGAGCCCACTGCCTGACCCTGCCTCCCTCCCCAGTATTAGGATTACAGAGTATGTGCTGCCATGCCTGGTATTTTTACATGGGTTCTGAGGATTGAATTTGGGTTTTTACGTCTGCAAGGGAACCCTTTGCAGCCTGAGCTCTCTCCCCAGTCTGAAAAAGAGAACTTTGCCTTGGCCCAGTCACAGAACAGAGCCACTGAGCATTTGGAGTTTTCGGCTTCGAGTTCCAACTATTTATTCCAGTTGTTTACATACGGAGAGACCAGAACATAGGACCTTGTTCCGTATTCTAGACTTTAAACTGCTCTGTTTTGACCCTACTTCTTGGTCACCTCTCTTCCTTTGAGAACCCCTGAGCTCACTCACTTGGGGCTATGCTGACATCTCAGGCTTTACTGATGCCCAGAGAAGCAGGAATGAGAGTCCTCGTCTATGGAACTGCTGGGTGGAGGTAGGACCTCAGAGGCTACGGGAAGTCCCACCTGCCCAGGGGAAGACCATCTCCTTCCTCCTGGGACACTTTTGAAATAGTTTGACCGTCATGGCTGAGGTACTTCAACTGTCTGAAGGTGACTGAGGCCTCGACTTCTTAGTCTGGGGCAGTCCCACCCCTCTCGGCTGCACCCACTTGTTGGTCAGCCGGAGTCTGCCTTCCACGTCTCTAACAACATTTGATAAAGGATCCTGTACACTGTGGCCTTTCCCAGAACCTGATAGTTTACAGTAGCTGCTGGGGCACCTTAGAAACTTCTGCTTTCAGCATGAACATGCCTGTGTCGGTCCTCCAGGGCGGGGCTGGAGACTCAACTCTTCCTGGACTAGCTAGCAGTTGCCTGGAAGTTAAAACTAGGTGGACAGACTGATCTTTACTGGGGGGGCAGGAATTAACTGAACTTTAGGTTTCCAGGCAAGACGCTGTGGGAGACACCTCCCAGTAGACATAATGCAAATGAAGATGACATATTTTGACCTATCAAATTGGCAGAGGTGAGAAAAGGCTAATACCCAGAATAGAGCTTGGATATGGGGAAATGAGTTCCCTCTCAGAAGGCCGGTTACTGGGTTAATGGGCACAGCATTTGAAAGCGGCTCCAAATTATGACTTTTTAAACTTTACATCAAGCAAGGATAGGGGACAGAAGAGCTGCCCTGGATGGACACAGTGAGGCTAACAGGAAAAGATACCCCCCAACTCCCCTTTCTAACATGAACACATTTCTCTCCAGGAACCAACAGATGCATGGAAAGACAGCGCCTCTAAAGAGTCCCGTACCCTGCACAGAGAAACCAGAAAAGGCCCAGGAGCCCCCAGATGACAGGTAAGGCCCTTTGCAATCAGGGATAAGTCAAGACGAGGACGGAATTGTCAGGAGGTGATCTGCTCGTGAGGGGACCTTAAGGGACTGGAAAGATGCCTCTGTCAATACAGCGCTTGTTTTTCCGAGCATGAAGACCTGAGTTCAATCCCCAGTGCCCACATGAAAAGAAAAAGGCTGATTGTGGCAGTGTGTGTTTGTAATTCTGGTGCTGGGGAGGTAGAGACAGGAAACCCTGTGAGGGTAGCCTAACTGGTGAGAGATCCTGCCTCAAAAGAGGTGGATGTCATTCCTGAGGATGACTCTCAAGGTGGACCTCTGGTCTACATGCACATACACACGCTCGCAGGCACACACATACACACACACACTCACACACGTGAGCACATACATATACACATACATATGAGAGGTGGGAGCACCTTAGGTCTGAGTCAGGCAGGATACCTTAGCATGCCTGGTGGGCAGGGAACGGCCTGCTGAGGCCTCTTCCTCCCACCCTCCCATCACATCCCAGTGCACTGGGACCTAGCAAGGGCCACAGGTTTCTCAGGTTACCAGTCTCCTCCCTGCCCACCTGTCCTTGGGCCAACCTGGCCAGAGCAAAGCTTTGTATTTCATTACGTTCTTTCCTGCTCAGTAGCCTCAGTCACTTGAGTGTGCCAAGTGCCTCAATGAGGAACGGCAGGCTGCCCAAGGAGGCTGCAAGGAGAGCAGATCTGTCTGTATCATGGCCCTGGAGCTGTGAGTCTAATGCTTCCATCTTGTATACCCCTAGACTGTGTGGTCTCTGGACCCACATTGCTTGGGCCTCTGTCTACTTCTTGGCTAGAGAACAGAGTGTCTTTGTTGCTCAGGATGAGCACTGTGGGAGACTGAGGCACAGGTCAAGCATACCTCTGTGGGTGTGGCACACAAATCTGCTTGGGAAGGAGGCCTCATGAGTGCCCTTCCCCAGAGATGAGCGGTACACTTGCAGTCGTTATCATATTACTGTGTTTCTTAGAGAAGGGCCTTAGTCTCCAATCTCTGCTCCAATCTTCCGGCACAAAGCCAGGGCAGAATTGGCACTGAGGACACATGGGCAGGACTCAAGGGTTCCTTGTCACTGGAATGGAATGTCTCCTTTGCAGTCTACACTGGTCAGAAGGCTTGAAGAGTGAAGAGATAAAGAAATATGGCCGGCAAGGGGTGAGTATGTCGAGGCTACCTTGGTCTGCTTACTGAGGGAGGTGTCCTGGGATGCCCAAATTCACTATTGACCTCTTGGCCACTAGGCCTGTTAGCAGGAACCCAGGAGACCTGAGTGAGTGCCCTTGCCTTGGTGGGAATGGTGTGTCCCCTCTAGTCACTGGCTCCCATTAAGAACTCAACATTACCAGGAGATGAGCTAGACTGGGAACTCAGCCCTTCATACCCTTGCTGTTTACCAGCGGGTCTCTATGGCATTATCTCCTGGTGGCTGGAACAGGGACCTACGGTGGTCTGATCACTAGCCTCTCATAGCTGGGTCTTATGTTTGCAGACACTCCTGAGCAAATACAACCAGCAGTTCCACAAGCTGTTTAAAGACATCCCCTTGGAGGAGATGGTTCTCAAAGGTGAGTTGTTTCCAGGACACCCAGGCCCTCTACTTGGGAGCCTTTATGCTTAATTTACAAATGGGAACAATTTCGATGTAGTTGGTCCTTTTTTCTTCCAAAGCACGAGGAGACAGGGTGGTTTAGCATGTGGAGTTAAGTTATGCAGGTTTGCTGGAGGAAAGGTAAGAATACCAGGTCTTTCTGTTCTGCTCTCACCAGTGGGGTGCTGTCCCTTGCCTAGGCTTCTCACCAAGCATGTAGGGTCATTTGCACAAGTTAGACCCTCTTCTCAAGGCAGGGTAAAGCCTCTTCCTGAGGTCATTGAAATTCGGGGCTAGAGACTTGGACAGGAAGTTGCTCAGACCTTGTCGGTAATGGAGAAAGAGGAAACATCTAGCAGTCTGGTGGGGTGGAGTGGGACACTCAGGATTCTCAGAAAGACCCTTTGAGTGCTTGTGGAGTAGATTGAGGATGGGGGCAGGAGAGTCTTGAGGACAGGTGAAGAGGTAAGAGGATCAAGGCCCTGGGGCTTCTCCGGGGTTAACCTTACTCATGACTGTCTTTTCCCCTGTGACTTCTCAGTGTGTTCCTGTGCCCTCCAGAGAGACCTCCTCCTGCATGGCCGACTCTATATCTCTCCCAACTGGCTCTGCTTTCATGCCAGCCTCTTTGGCAAGGATATCAAGGTAGTAATGAGTGATGGGGTTGCTATGACCCAGTAAGGCTCCTGTCTAGGAACCAGGGGAGGGACAGTCTCCTGCCCTGTGGGCATGCCTTAAGCCATGACTGTCATCTGTGTGCTCAGCACGTGGTGAAGCCTCTCACTGGTTGGATGAGCAGCATCAAGGTCTCTCATCCCGTGTTCAGGGAAGTAAGTAGCTCTCCTTCTGAAACACAGGCCCCTATCTTGATCCTACATCTGGCCTGACAATTGACAGCTAAATTATACTGGCTTCAGATATCTCAGGAATGCCTTCGGGGTCAGAGTAAGGTGTCCTTTTTAGGGAGAGTCACTAGTGTAACGAAGGGCCAGTTCAGGGGAGTCCATGAGTACAGCAGAGAATTCAATTTAACAACTGTCTTCGGAGTCTTGGACAGCAGGGGCCATGCACAGAAGAGAATCTGAAGCTGCATGTCTGATCAAGGCTGGCCAAGGAAGCAGGATAGTTGGGAGGGGCCCTGGATGAGAATGTGAAAGGCCCAGAAGCCCCCTGCTTCACCAGGGTGTGCCAGCTATGTCTATCCTTTCACCAGGAGTGCCAGCTATGTCTATCCTTTGTGAAGATAACCAAGGACCTTTATTCTTTGGGATGCTAAGATGCCCCCCACCCCCCCTCTCAGGTAGTCATTCCTGTGGTATCTGTGCAATTGATCAAGAAACATAAGATGGCACGTCTCCTTCCCAACGGACTGGCCATCACCACAAACACCAGCCAGAAGGTTTGTGAGCCTCTGGGCCAACAACTTCTCCTGTCTTTCTCCCCATTCTAGTTCCAGAAACCCACGGCCTAATGCTGGCCTACTCTCAGACCTTTATGTCTCCCTACCATCTAGCTTTCCAGCAGATGTTTCAGGCTAATGAGCTAGAAAAAACTTTCCCGAGTGAAAGTCCAGTTGGTTCTCATGGCCCATACCTCTGGAATGGCCCCCAATCCATGAACATGGCCTGCTGGTACAGCAAGAAGCCCCATCTCACCCTAGTCCTTTTTTTCTTTTCATGTCCCAGTATGTCTTTGTGTCTCTGCTCTCCCGGGACAGTGTGTATGACATGCTGAGGAGGGTCTGCACTCACCTACAGGTATGGAACCCGGAGGCAAGGGTTGACCTGGGAGACTGCACCCAGGTGTTGGGACAAGGCAGTTAGGGGGAGATTAGTGTGCCTCTCTAGCACCAGGAATGGGAACAGAGAGAGGGGGGCTTACTGTCTGGGCTCAATGTACCAGAGGCTGTATTTGAACTGTGTATCACTGCGTGTATCTTTTGGCCAGTCTTGGTGTCTCCTCATATGTACATTTGCCCTCACCCGTGCCTCCTTAGTGTACAAATAGACAGGGGCATGTGACTGCTTCTCAACATACCCCTGGCCAAGGTGAGGAGGGGGAAGGAGGGAGGGGGCAGGGGCATAGAAAATGAGTTGCCTGGGATTTGATCCTCTAGTACAAAGCACCCCCCAACTACTTACCATACACAAACTCTGACCTGGGTTTCACCTGCATGGTAGCTCGTTGGTGAGGGCCTCCCCATGTTTGATCTTGCTTGTTCCTTTTCCTCCCCAGCCTTCCAGCAAGAAGAGTCTAAGTGTAAGGAAATTCCCCGAGGAAGCCGAGTGCGAGTCTCCGGTGAGAGCCGAAGCTGGGAGCAAGGGCCTGAGGGTGAGCAGGGCTCTAAAACTTTAGGGCTACCATGTAAAATTAGGGCATATGTTCTAGAGCTAGGGGCCACACTGTGTTAAAGGTCTCCTAGACTGCATGCCATGTGGAGCACAAAGGTCCTCAGCAGCCTAGCTGAAGTATATCCCCCAGACACTGGTTGGGTTGAGTCTCAGACCAAATGGATGCATAGCCAGTCATCCATCCTCCTTCTTTTCTCAAAGGAAAGAGGACATTCAAAGTCACAGACATATCCTTAGATAAGAACTCCAAAGCCAGGGGCTGGGGAGGTGACTCTGTGGTTAAGAACACTCTGTGGTTAAGAGTGGTTGCTGCTCTTTCACAAGACATACAAGCAGGGAAAACACACACACACACACACACACACACAAATACAAGCAGGCAAAACATACACATACAAAAAAAATACATTAAAAAAAAAAAGAACCTCAAAGCTGTCAAACCCATTTGCTCAAACTCCAGCAGTTTCCTTCAATAACTGAGGGACAGCTGAGGTTTTTTGTTGTTGGGTTTTCTGTTTGTTTGTTTGGTTTGGTTTGGTTTGGTTTGGCTTCTCTGTGTAACAGCTCTGGCTGTCCTGGAACTCACTTTGTAGACCAGGCTAGTTTTGAACTGCCTCTGCCTCCCAAGTGCTGGGATTAAAGGCATGCACCACCACTGCCCAGCTGGGACAACTGAGTTTTGAGAGCAGAGATAAAGTGTCTGTGACCTCAAAGTGTTTAGAGCCTCCTCAGTAACTATGAAGCATTTAGCCAAGCATACAGGATACAGACTACCATGCCAGGGACAGAAGCCAGTGTCCCCTTTTGTATAGACAGGGACTGTGAGTCACCTCTGCCAAGGTCAGTGACTTGTATAGGGTTAGAATCTGGATCAAAAGAAGCCATCATTTGTGCCATCTCAGGCTGTCTTGAACTTATATCTGAGCATGTACCCGGGTTGTCTGACCTAAGATAACCCCTGTACTTCTTCACTGTGGTCTTCAAAGATATTGTTTGGGGGGAAGGGGTTTCATTTTCTTCAGTGTTTTAGCTAGTGGGTAAGTTGTCCAAGTTCATACAAGTGACTCAAATTAAACTCAGTGGGTCCAAAACAACAACAAAGCAACAGGTGTGAAAAGAGGCAGGGACTAGATTCGAAGACAAAATGGATCAGCTGGGGTGGGAGGGAAAATGTTAGGAGAAGGTACCATATGGCTATGGTTATATATGTATGAGATTATTTAAAATGATGTAAAATTCAACTACATATCGTTTCAGTAGTAATATCGAATGGTATAATTACAGTTAATAATACATAAAAGATGTTTTCTGACAGAGGAATGGTACAGCCAGGGAATATTCAGTAGAGTCGTGTTGTTATATTCCACTCCTGAGTAGGCATCTGGATTGGTAAAAGCTGGAGAAAATCTTGATAACCCTGGAGTGGACTTCTTAGGACAAAGGGTACTCACTCACATCCTGTCTTCTCCACAGGAAATCCTTACCCCTGAGATGAAGTGGAGAAACGTGTGCTCAGCCTCCACATCACTGTCACTCCCAGACAACATCTCTTGTGTCTCTCGGATACCCACAGACTCCACAGATAGCTGCTTTCCCTCCAGGAAACCTCCAGGGTCTGGTGAGTTCTGGATCTTGTCTGTGGCAACTGCTTGCAGAGCCTTAGCCTTTTCTCTTACTTCTATGCAAAGAGCCCAGCATGCCCAGCCAGGCTTCTGAGAGCTGTTTCTTTCTTTCTCCAAACCCATATGGAAAATCCAAGAGCTCAAGCAGCTTCAGCACATGAAGGGAGGGGGAGCTGCCCCACTCTGATTGGGGCCCCAAGTGCCCCAGGAAGATGCCTAGCTGCTCTCCCATTGCAGAGACCACCTGTGACGAAGATTCACTGGAGGAAGAGCCCACGATGGACCAGGAATTGAGGCTGTGGGATTCCCGGCTCCTCAAAGTCATCTTTGTGATGTAGGTGTCTATACTGAGGGAGGTCTGTAACCCGGAGTGGTGGTGGTCATGGTGATTAGGTGTTTGAAACAGGGGTGTTGAGGGTTGGGTTATTGCCTAGACCCAAGGGGATGTTCCAAATCAACTCCAAATTCTTGAGTGGTTTCGGAAGGCCTCATGACTCATCCTCCCAGACTTCTGCCTGAGTCCCTGTGTTTAGACTTCAGGCAGTGCTATGGCAAGGGGCAGGGTAAACTATTGAGAAAAGGAAAAGTTGCTGCCCAGACTTGGGGAGCCATCAGATAACTGAGAGAAATATTAGCCCAGGAAACACATGTTTTCTCCACTGCCTACCATTAGGACAACTTGCAGGACCCCTGCTTGTCTGTTTCCCTCTATGTAGCATGGGGTCTTGGGGTCTTTGGGATGGAAGAGTCCATCTGCAGATCAGTTCCCCTGAAGTCTGGAAGTGGTAGATACCAGTGGGTTTAGTATGTGGAGTTAGGAAGCTTCCACAGGTGTTATCAGTCAAGTCAACTTTCCTGTCCAAAGAGGAAAGCCTCATCCCACCCAAGGCTTTTAAATTATTAACCCTTCATCTTCCACATCTTCTGTCTCTGCTGTCTAGGATTTCCAACCTCAGCCTCTCTAGGGGAATGGGCCTGCTGCCTTAGAGATTGACATCACCTTAATGGCCACTGGAGGGGGTATAGAAACCAAGGTGGCTGGGAAGAGGAAGAGTAGGATACTAGTTCTGGTTGTCTGGCTTCCTTCGTGGCTCGGCTGAAGGACCTAGAATTTCTGCTAACTGTAAGGACATTAGAAGTGTCAGGCCATCCCTGTGTCCTCTAAGAAAAATGATGTCAGGATCTGTTTAATGAACAGGAACCAAGGGCTCTCCAAGCCCTCCAATTTTGGGAATTAGGGTAGTTCTCATGCTATTTTTTGCAAACCTCCACCAAATGCCCTTTATTCAGGAGAAAGGCTCAACTCTTAGCCTGGTACTTGATGCACATGCCTGTGGTCCCATGCTGTAACTTAGAGGCTAAGGCAAGGAGGATCATGGATTTGAGATCAGTCTGGAGTAAGTTCCAGACCAGCCTGGGTTATGTATTCAGACTGCCTCAAAAACAAAACTAAGTTAAACTAAAAAGTATATGGAGATGTAACTCAGTTGTAGAATGCTGGTCTAGCATGCACAAAGCCCTGGATTTGATCCCCAGCACTGTATAAATGAAGCATGACAGCAATTGGGAGGTGGAAACAGAAGGCTCAAGATTTCAAGGCCGTCCTTGACTACATATCACTTTTGAGGTCAGCCTGTGCTGCAGGTAATGCAACCCTGTCTCAACAAAAATAAAAATGGGGTTGGAGAGACCGCTCAGCAGTTAAGCCTGCTTGCCTTTCTTGTACAGGAATTCTGTTTCTCAGCACCCATGTCAGACACTTCACAACCATCTGTAACTCCAGTTCTAGACGATCTGATGTGCCCGCATGGTGCTCTTTTTGACACACACACACACACACACACACACACACATACACACACACACATACACACACACACACACACACTCACACACCAAAACTAGAAAATCAAGAAACAGAGCTAACCCCTCATTGCCCCTGTTTCTCCAGGATCTGCTTCTTAGTTGTGTCCTCGTCCTATCTGGCATTCCGCATTTCCCGGCTGGAACAGCAATTATGTTCCTTGAACTGGGGTGGTCCACTACCAGGGGACAGGTGAGGCCCTTTCCCTTCTTAATGCCTTTGGGATTGAAGGTAGGTCAGGGCCAGACTGCTACAACCCTGATTGAACTTGCCTGTGTTTTGAACTGGCTGGATGGTCCTAAGCAGGGTTGGGTATGTGTGCAAGGTACCAGGTCTCACTCTGGCCCACTCTCGAGGGGAGCAGGGTCTCCAGGCCTTTCCTCTGATCTGAGCATCTTTCTTTCGTGCAGGTAACAGTCAGTTGGCCTTCGTCCTCACACCTTGTCTAAGGATGCTCTGGGTGCTGTCTCTACCAATGATTCCTGAGGTTTATACTGCAGTTGTGCTGAGAATGAGAATGAAGGAAAATAATCTAGATCCTTCCTCCAGCCCCCTGCCCCAACACTTCTTTCCTCAATGAGTGATCTGAAGTAACTGTTTACAGATTAACTGGCTCCTACAATTTTGGACTCAAACAAAATGTTAGATCTTTTGTTTTTTTAATCAGATGAGGAGTTCTGTACACTAAGCTTCAGCGACCACTGAAATGATAGAAAACATATTAACTTGGCTTTTTGTAAGCAGTGATTCTGGCACACTGGCAGAGCCCTGGGGGCCTCCTCCAGGGACAAAGGGCATGCTTTGATACCTGGATTGCTGCTGGCTGTCACATGACACACTCTAGTGAGTGTTGGGAGAGGTGGGGGTTGGGGACATAACAGAGGCACAGACTGTCTCTGTGAGCTCTGCTGCCTCCCCACACTCTGTGATCTTACTTAGGCCTCTCAGAATCTTTGTTCTGGAGCCCTCAGGACTTCTCTGCAGGGAGCCAGACACCTCAGGGCATATGAGAAGGCTGGATGTAAAGAACAGAGCTCATGGCAGGGGATTAGCAAGAGACCAAACTTGGTGCTCTGAGCTGAGCTGGATGAGACTAAGATTGGAGGTCCCAGAATCCCTATTCTGCATCAGCCCCCTCTTTGGTTGGACAGGTGGAACAGGGGCTTAGGTATTTGGTACCAGGACTATTCCCAGTGGTCCACAGACATTTCCAAGGGCCTGGCCATAAGCAACAGGAAGGTGGGAAATTTGATTTGAGATCCAGCTGCTGGCATACTTCCTGCATGGCCAACTGCTCTTGTGAGAGTGGCTTGGCAGGACAGTGGGATCTGACAGTGTTAGGCCACTTCCTGGCAGAGCTCACTCATGTCACCTGCAGCCTGTATGTTACAAGCCAGTCTGTAGGGTCCAGTAATCTAAATGAGGTAGAGGTATCCAGGTGGGACAGGTTCAGTGTAGTGATCAGGTAGTTATCTCTCTGACCCCTTGGGGAGAAGATGGGAGGTAATGACGTGGGTGCACACTGATGGTTTTTTCTGTAAAGCATCTTCTTTTTCATTCTAAAAAGGACCCTGGTCCTCGGGACTCTCACCGGCTAAGACAGTGCCTTTGAAGGTTCTAGAAGGGCCTTAGGGAGGAAGCCAGAGGTTTCAAGGAAAAGCACAGGTGGTGCGGGGGCGGCATTAGGAGTAGGCACTGTTTCCTCCCTCTGATGCTGGGAGGTTAACTGGGGGAAGAAACCCAGGTGGGGATTATTGCAGATATGATTGTCTCATTTAGGACAAATCCAAGCAGGACTGGAGAAAGGACAGTAGTTGACAACTCCCTGAGCTCAGACTAGAGGTCCCTTCACCATCTCCCCATTCTAGTTTCTAGGGTTGAACACAGAGCCCAGCCTTGTATGTTGTTTGTACCAAATCTCTACATCTCAGGTGAAAACCAGTGTCCATTTCTTCTGCCAGGACCACACCATCAAATGCCCATCCTTTAATGCCTACCCCTTTGTTTTAATCACTCTCCCTCACTCTTTTCCATGGAATTTTCATGGAAACAATCCTCACCGCCCCAGGACTTTCCCTTCCTGGTCCCTGCCAGAAGATGGGAGAACAAATCTGTTCTCTGAGCCTTGCTAGGTTGAGCCAGGGTTCATGAGAGGTGCCAAGTCACAAGTGGCTGTGCCAACATGCTGTGGAAAACGTGGTCTCCAGCCAGCCCAAGGCTCAGAAAGGGCAGCAGGCTGTACGTAGGTGGCTCTGGAGGTGTACTCAGGACAAGGGCCTTGAGTGATACACGTGAGTCCATTCCTCTGGAGTGTCCTCTCTCTGCTTCTTCTCCCCTTCCGCCCCCATCTAGCTCCTCTAGAGGAACTGTGTGTCTGCTGTGATCATTCGTTGTCCATGAGTATTTATACATTTCCAATTGCATTGGCTAACGGTTCTCTGATTCCCTGAAAGGCCGGTTCAGTAAGAGTGGTTGTCCACCGTGGTATTAGCCTTTGAAACTAAAACAACAACAACAACAAAAATGGGTTAAATCCCTGGTACTGAAAAGATGTTTTTTAAAAAATAAAAACCTTGATTTTTCTAGTGTCCTATGGCGTGGAAATTCACTTTTATAGTGTGTGTGTGTGTGTGTGTGTGTGTGTGTGTGTTTAAACCAGAGGACAACTTTAAGTGGTGTTCCTCAGGCACCAAGCACCTTGAGACAGGGTCTCTCAATGGGCTGTAGTTAGATGAGAGCAGACCTGACTGCCTAGACAGCCCCAGTGGCACTCCTGGTTCCACCTCCACCTCCCCAGCACTACAGTTACAAGCATGTCCCACCACACCTGGCTTTATATATGTATATATATGTACACACACACATCATGCTTATAAGGCAAGCACTTCACTGAGCCATCTCTTCAGTGCCCCCCCCCCACCCTTTTTTGGTTTCTCAAGACAGGGTTTCTCTGTGTAGCTTTGTAGACCAGGCTGGCCTCAAACTCACAGAGATCCACCTGCCTCTGTTTGTTTCCCAAGTGCTAGAATTAAGTCATGCGCTACCACCACCTGGTTTTTTGTTTTTGTTTTTGTTTTTGTTTTTGAGACAGGGTTTCTCTGTATTGCTTTGGGGCCTGTCCTGGAACTCACTCTATAGACCAGGCTGATCTTGAACTCACAGAGATCCACGCCTCTGCCTCCCGAGTGCTGGGATTAAAGGTATGCGCCACCACTGCCTGGCACCAGTTCCCATTTTTATCTTATTTTTTTTTAGATTTTATGTTTATGTATGAGTATTTGAATGTATACCTATGAACCACATGTGTGCAGTGTCCACAGAGGCCAGAAGAGGGCGTTGGATCCCCTGGGACTAGAGTCACAGACATGTGTTAGCTGCCGTGTATACTCTGGAAACTGAACCTGGGTCTTTTGCAGCAACAGAGTCATCTCTCCCAATGCATGGAAGTTTAAGCCAGAAAACTCCTGTGGTCTTTTCTACAAGTGACAGTATAGGAAATCTAAATTCCAACTGTCATAATACTTTTTAAATTTTTATTTATGTGGAACTGGAAGATGGCTTAATAGTTAAAGTTAAGAGCACTGGCTTCGAGTCCTAGAACCCACATGGTGATTCTCAACCACCTGTGATTCAACTGCAGGGCATCTAATGCCCTCTTCTGATCCATAGGCAGGCAAAACACCAAGGCAGACTTTTTTATTTGTTTGCTTTTTGTTTGTTTTTCAAGTCAGGGTTTCTCTGCGTAGCCCTGGCTGTCCTAGAATTCACACTGTAGCCCAAATTGATCTTGAACTCACAGAGATCTGCCTACCTTTGCCTCCCAAGTGCTGAGATTAAAGGCATATGCCACAACTGCCTGGCTAAAATAATTTTTAGTTATTTATTTGACTGGTGGGATGGCTAAATCAGTATAGTACCTGCCATGCAAACTTGAGGATCTGATGCTGGGTGGCGGTGCATGCCTTTAATCCCTGTACTTGGGAAGTAGAGACAGGTGGATCTCTGAGTTTGAGGCCAGCCTGGTCTACAAATCAAATTCCAAGACAGACAGGGCTACACAAAGAGAAACCCTGTCTCGAAAAAAAAAACAAAAAAACAAAAAACAAAAACAAAAATACCCCCATAAACCCATGAGGATCTGATTTCAGATCCCCCAGAAGACATGTAAAAGCTGTGGAGGAGGGACGTGCATCTGGTAACCCCACCATTGAGGAGAACAGAGATGGGTAATCCCTGGACCTCACCAAACAGCCAGCCTAGCCACATCAATGAATTTTGAGACCTTGTCTCAAAAAATACAGTGGAGCGGTGAAGAGATGGCTCAGGGCCCCAGACCACTTTCTCCTCCTGCAGAGGACCCAGGTTGGATTCCTAGCATCCACAACAGACAGCTCACAGCTATCTGTAACTCCGATTCCAGCGGATCTGATGTCCTTCCCTGGCCTCCAGGGGAACCAGGTACACACATGGTGCACACACATGCATATAGGCAAAACACACAGAGAATAAAAATAAGTATTTAAAAAACAAAAAGCAGGGTGGAGGGCCTGGAAAGATGGCTCAGTGGGGGAAGGTGCTTGCCATTCCCACCTGACAACCTAAGTTTGATCCCCGGACCCCAGTGGTAGAAGCAGAGAACCAACTCCAACAAGTTCCTTTGATTTCCAGACACACATCATGGCATGTGTCTGCGTGCACACATGCACACAGACACAATACATGCTTTTAAAAGGTTTAGGATGAAGAGGGGGTGGAGAGATGGCTCAGTGGTCAAGAGAACTTGTTCTTGCACAGGGCCTGGGTTCACTTCCCAGCACCCACATGTAGTTCCAAGGGATAGGATGTCTCTTCTGACTGCTACAGGCTCCTGATTGATCTCTGGGTTCAAGGCCAGTCTGGTCTACAGAGAGAGTTCTGGGATAGCCAGGATTACACAGAGAAACCCTGTCTCAACAAAACAAAACAAAATACAAAATAAGAGATAGGGTTTCTTTGCTGTTTTTCTGTTGCTTGTGCCAAGCTGGTCTATACTCATCTAGGAATCCTCCTGTCTCTGCCTTCCATCTCCCCATGGAAACACTGGGATTACAGATACTCATGCTAACACATCGATCTTTGACAGGGGTTTTGAGGATCTGAACTCACGTCTTCACACTTGCATAGCAAGCACTGTCATCCACTGAGCCATCTTCCCACCCCACTTAAAATTTTTTGATACAGGATCTGACTGCATGGACTAGGCTGCCCTTGAACATCCCAGTCTTCCCGCAATAGCCTCCTGTGTGCTGGGATTTCAGGTTTATGCCACCCTGCCTGATGTAGAGCATATTTTTTAAACACTTCATTTATTTTTGTTTCATGTGCAGTAGTGTTTTTTGCCTGCATGTCTGTCTGTGTGAGGATGCCAGATCCTCTGGAACTTGAGTTACAGACAGTTGTGAGCCACCATGTAGGTGCTGGGATTGAACCTAGGTCCTCCGGAAGAGCAGCCAATGCTCTTAACCCCTGAGCCATCTCTCCAGCCCTATACAGCACATAAAAATGATTTCTTATGGTGTGTGTGCCTGTTCTGGGTATGGAACTCAGGTTGACAGGCTTATGCAGCAAACAGTTCACCCCTGACCCTATTGCTAGACCATATAAACCTTTTTCTTCCAACAATGTCCCCTTCTAGCAGTGTATTCATTCAATAAATATTGAGTCCAGACTTTGTTCCAGCATGCTAGGCACTGGAGATACATCAGCGACTATGTCAGGTAATCTGTGTTCTAAACACATTTAATTTAAATTCCACATAAAGGGGAATTCTAATAAATATGCCAACAGCCAAGGTAACGATAGCTCGGTGTTGGGTTCCATATAGGAAAGACCAGGATGTAAGATAAGGAGGAAACTGACTTCAGACAGGGCAGTTAAGAAAGTCCTCTAAAGTAACACTTAAGCTGTTACCTGAAGGATGAGTAGCTGATTACAAGAGGAGCTGGGACAAGAGTCATTTCTGGGAGAGGCTGGGTGACTGCTGAAGTCGTGAAAGAACATTTATGTCTAAGAAACAGAAACTATCTATGTGACTCTGGAATGCCAGCCAAGTTGGGGGGTGGGGGCGGGGGGTTGTGAGGCATGAAAGAGGCTGAAGGACCAGCTAGATGGCTCAGGATGTGAAGATGCTTGCTGACAAGCCTTAACCATTTGGTTTGGTTTTGTTTTTTGTTTTTCGAGACAGGGTTTCTCTGTGGCTTTGGAGGCTCTCCTGGAACTAGCTCTTGTAGACCAGGCTGGTCTCGAACTCATAGAGATCCACCTGCCTCTGTCTCCCGAGTGCTGGGATTAAAGGCATGCACCACCACTGCCTGGCGCCTTAACTGTTTGTATTTGAACTCTGGAACCCACATAAGGGCAGAAGAAGAGTGTCTACTCCACAAAGTTGTCCTCTGAGTTTCACACGTGCAGTGGCATGTGCAGGCCACCCGCATGTCAAGTCTGTGCACAGTAATAACACCATGTAAAAAAAGTACTTTTAAAAAGGCGGGAGTTAGCCGGGTGTTGGTGGGCCCACCTTTAATCCCAGCACAGCCTGGTCTACAGAGAGAGCTCCAGGACAGCCTCCAAAACAATACAGAGAAACCCTGTCTCGAAAACCCCCAAAAAAGGGGGAGTTGGGGGGTAATTCCCGCTTTTAATCCCAGCACTCGAAAGGCAGGTGGATCTCTGAGTTCCAGGCCAGCCTGGCCTACAAAGGGAGTTTCAAGACAGCCAGGGCTATTTCACAGAGAAACCCTGTCTTGAAAAACAAACAATTGAGGCTGGAGAAATCATTTCTCTTACATGTATAACTACCTGAGTTTGAGCCCCGGAACTGACTCCACAAAGTTGTACTCTGATCTGCACATACACATACCATGACATTCATGTGGCCACACACACATCGCACACAACTGTGACAAGACGAATGTTACCCAAACAGCAACAACAATGCAGTAATAAACTAAATTTAAAGAGGCTATCTAGCCGGGCGTTGGTGGCGCACGCCTTTAATCCCAGCACTCGGGAGGCAGAGGCAGGCGGATCACTGTGAGTTCGAGACCAGCCTGGTGTACTGAGCGAGTTCCAGGACAGCCTCCAAAGCCACAGGGAAACCCTGTCTCGAAAAACCAAAAAAAAAAAAAAAAAAAAAAAAAAAAAAGGCTATCTAGGGATATCAACAGCAAATGATCTGATAGGAAAATAGGCAAACGATTTGTAGGTATTTCTCTGAATAGATTTTTAGAAAATAATCATTAACCAATGAAATACTGGTCAGCATTTCGACTCACATGGAGATCCTATGGAGAGGCTATCACAGTGATTAGGATGGCTCCCATCAAACAGAAAATTACAAGTGTTGGTAAGGCTGTGGCTCAATCGACTTCCATTGTACTGCTGGAATGAGGTTGTTTGCCTCGTGGATGGAGTACAGTCCAGAGGGAGAACATATGCTTGGCTTGCTCAGACCCTGCATTCAGGCCCAGTACCAAGGGAAGGAAAAACATAGTTGCTGTGACAAGATGAATGTTACTCAAACAAAGAAAAGTAAATAAGAAATAATGCA